ACACACACACCCCCTTCTCACTTTCAATTTGTTTCCATCATTTTACACAGTGGAAGGATGGTCTGTGCCCCACCTAGGAAATTTTGGGAAACAGCTTTGTGGAACCACAATCACGTACTGGGTAATGTTTTGTACAACGTTTCGACGTGTTTCCCGCGTCGTCCTCAGGCCCACGTAGAAACGTTGCATAAAACTTTAACCAGTGATTGTCGTGCCATAAATCTATGTCAATGTATCGTTTTTACGATTGCGAAATGCCAGTTAAAGACTTGGTTTCTTATGTCATGGATGTCCCATGTACATACATACATTCAAAATACGGTCATGTAAACTGAATATTGATCTATTCAGAGAAAGGTACTTAATGCCTTCTGACGTCACCTATCATGGAGAATCAATGGATTTAGTTTTACCTCCTTTATAATACAGTACGAGAGTTTTTAAATTTCCTTTATCTTAAGTTACACCCTGATAATTCAAACACACTAAGACTAGCGCAATATTGATCAAAATAAACATCAATATATCTTGGATACCAATAGGTCCAATCAGAAACGTATCTGTAAGTGGGGGGGAGGGATCTCATTTTGGGGAGGCATCCCAGGCATACTTCCATCAACAACGAAAAAGGTGCTGGCTCTCCTCCATCCCCAGCAACCCCACTTATAACTTTCTTAACACATTTATTGCCTGTGTGACCCCTTGACAATTTAATGGCCCCTACTAAGCACTTCTTATTAATGATTCCTATATGCCGATATAGTCATTTGTTTCGTTACGTCAAATAAATGGTGGTTGTGGGTTATAATACCAGTCAGCGTGTGAAAGTAGGATGTCCTTGAATAAGTCATCTTCACTCATAATTCCAGTCGACCCAGCTGTAAATGGGAACGGATAATCCATGGCCAAGGACCATGTGCTAGAAAGGATCCTTAACTGCGAACCTAAGTTGTTTCTCTCTTTCTTTCTTAGCTTTTGATTGGTATTTCAATAAGTATATAAGGTCAATGTCACCTGCTATTGACTGATTATGGCGGGAAATGAATTATCTCCCCTATATTCAATGTTTATCAATATTCAGATGTTGATAGCAACCGTGCATAACAAGTTATAATTACTATATAGGCCTATTATAGTATTCCCTTCGCTAACAGTCGATATAGTTATTCAACAAGAATGAAACGAAATGGAGTTTTACGTTCGATATCTGCAATGAAGCGGAATGATAGTGTGATTATATCATATACTGGCAATTGAATAGATATTGTAAGTAAATTTATTTTTTTATTAAGTTTACGATAATCATTTTGTGATTAATGCTTTTCATATCAGAAACTTGTTAGACTAAATGATTTTTTTTTCGATCATTAAATTTCCAAAAGCTTTTGACGTTGTGCTTCTATTTAAACAATTTTATAAAAGATTTAGAAAATTATAAAAAAAATTAAAACTTGTTTGTAGGCCTATCCATAATTGTACCCCCACTTCATTTTTTACGATTTTAAAAATTGATGATTTGTGTACGTTTTTGTCTAAATATTCTTCAGAATGCGGCACATCAATTTAATTTTATAAAATTTCTTGAGGGACCCCTCACAGACGCTCAATGCGAGACTTGTGTCCAGGGGCATCCAAAGAGGTGTCGTATTTGGAATCTCAATGCCGACATTTGTCCCCCAATGTGTTTAGTTTGCCTCTATTTGTACCCCAGGCTGAATCATTCAAGATAGATGTAGTGCCTAACGTACGATGTCTGTGGTTCCTGTAATGCCAGAAAAACTTGGAAAAGGTTATAACGTCGCGATCGCAAATACCATTTAAGCCTTGTGGTAAATTAGAGTGGTTCACATTACAGTGATAAATGTCACCCGCACGTTTAAAAAAAACTTTTTTGAATATATTTTGATTGTTAATCGACCAATATGAAGTTTTCTGGATTGTTTATGTGTATCGGGGACACTGATAGCATCAAACACTTATTTTTTGTAGTAGACCCCTCTCGCAGGAACCACAGAGGCCTGACTGAAAATGGGAATGGTTCAAACTGAAGCTATCAGTGTCCCCGATACACACACAAAAAAAATCAGAAAACCCATTTAAAATCTCTTTAATGGAAATACGCTTTGACATGCAACATTATAAATAATTGATCCTCACTACAGACTAGATTTGATTTTACATTTAAAGATGTATATATTTATCGACAATCGTTAGCCCTTTTTGTTTTCTACTAAATGATTTGCGCCTTTGAGGTTTCTTGTTCCTGCAGAATTCCATTTGGCTTTAGAGGAACTACGGGAATTCGAATTGGAGCAAATATATGCCTTATATTATGTTCTGACCTGCATACAACCTCTGGAATGCCTCATTCAAATTTAAAATCGACATTTTCATCGCTTTAATGGGCTTTAATGGGTAAATTTTCTATGTGTATCGGGGACATTAATGGCATCAATTTACAACATTCCAATTTTCAATCAGTCGTCTGAGATTTCTTCACTTATTGCGAAGCATATTTTCCGATTAGTGACATCATAATATTAATAGTTTTAAAATGGAATTGCAGAAACCACAGACGTGTAATTGTAAATTAGAATTGTGCAAATTGATGCTATCATTGTCCCCGATATACATATACAACTTTAAGCAAACGCGTTTAACCGTGACTTACAGGAACCAAGAACTGAGTTCCACTACAATAATTTCAATATAAGAGGTAGAGGTAGGGCATGCTCATCCTTCCATGAGATGAATTGATAACACAAAGGCTTGGGTATGCATTATGTTGTCCCTATTATTGGTGCAAGAGGTCGAATGTCGAAAGGCCTATGAATACATTTTATTGAGGAAATATGCATTATTTCCGTGTAAAATTGTAATTATATTGTTGCATGAAACGCAGTGACCCCTCCAATACCATTTTTGATATTCCCTTGTTGTACCAATAAACAGCACGGCTACAGCACTGCGGGTTTAGTTTCAGTGCTTTCAGTTTTCATACCACCCAACCCTAATATTTATTAACACGACGACCATATTTATTGCGTAACTATTTTGACAACCAACGATTGTATAATAGGTATGTTAGGTAAATATCTATTGTCTTTATCAGCCTGTATATAGCATTGCTCAAACAATATCTTCTTCTTACATCTTATCATCTTCACAATGTCAGTCTATTATTAACTTCGTATTATACCTTGACTGCAATAGCCAACCTCTTGTATTCCGGAATGCAGACTAGTGAGCTGTTTTTCGATAAAGAGATTGGGTTGTGCGATAGCGAATACAGTCAATTACAAGTGCCATCGATATAAAAACTGTAATTTGACATTGTGAAGATGAAATCTTATTACTAGAAAATCAATACTCTATTGAATTAGGAATGTTCGCACTGACTGTATACCCAATGTCGTCCTGTTACTGGGTGCGAACATCCAAATTTGACACTCGATATTCAAGAATAGTGAGCCGTATCTAAATCGCGAAAAATGCCAAATGTCGAATTTGACAAAAAGACATATTCGCTTAAATCATTAAATATATATGTATGATATCCGCAAAGTGTTTCGCTTATTTGATGTTTGCGTAAAGTTATTTACCTGACTGTAAGGGCAAAAGGATTTCTGCCCCGTAGACAAAAAGATCTTTTTATAGTTAGGGCCCCGACTATTGACACCATGTACATTTCCGTTGAAACGTCTCTTGAACAGGGTCAACACCTCGGTCAAAATTTATACGCTGTTGTATCAGTTGGAAGGACTCAGAAAACTCTCATTGTTCTAGTTAGTCTGTTGGTGGGTAGGCAAGATAATTTCATATGGTCTCGATATTTTTAAGACCACAACACATGCACACATTTATCTAAATCGGTGTCAAAACGGTATTGATGAATATATAAGCCTAAAGCCATGATTAAAATTATAAAAGCTGATTTTAGCTTGAGCTGATAAGCTTAGACACCCTCTGCCATTTCCGTATAAACATTGTTGGCAGAGGGATTGTCAGGGGGAAGTAATTCTTGTTTAGAGCAGCCGTAAAATTCGATTGCAAACGATCTACCGTGAAAGTTCAACAGATTACTGTACATGTACTAGGAGAGTTTTAAGTCAATATATAATCGTTACAGGGCGATTAGGATTTGATCTTTAATCCAATAATCCTGCCATGTAGATTAAGATTAACAGTATTTCACAAACTGATTCACATTCACGAATAAAACAATGATCAGAGGTATTATGAGTGGGCCTTAGAGACCCAATCACAAACAATGGCTCTCCTTTAACGACTGCATTCATTTCTTACAGATTACCGAGTTAGGGCCGGTTTCGTACATAATTAATGTAATTAATAAAGGTAGAGAGTGACAAGTAAAACGAAGATATGGAGGTAATATATAAGATCGAGAATGAGGATATCTTGTAAATGAACGAGAGATACTCGGGAGGCATACCGGCAACCATATACAAATAAAGATAGGATAACCACAACACAAGGTTTGTTTGATCTTTGATTTGTAACGGGACAGAATTGCCTAATGATTTAATTCACCCAATATGTCTCAATTGTGAAAACGAGGATATGGGAGTAAGACATAAGATAGAGAGTGAGATATATGAGGAATACCTGCAAACATATACGAGCAGCAATAGGACAAGCAAAACACAAGGCTCGTTTGCTCTTTGATTCTCTTGAGGGAAAGAGTCGTCTAATAATCGAGATAAACACTTTCTAGAACATCGTTTGTGGTAGATTGGAATCAACTAGGTCAAATCAAAAGTTGGCTGTAAGATTCTAAAACATTTCTCTTTCCAGATTATTAAAAAGCTTCCATAGAACAGACTTGATCAAGATCCTACAACCAACTACTACAACTACCAACTACCTAGTTTGCGATATCAGCATCCGCTGAAAGCGAAGTTAACTTGTCATCTACCAGCAACTACCTAGTCTGTGATATCAGTTTTAGCTGGGAGCGTACGTTAACTTGTAATCTACCAAAAACTACCTAGTGTGTGATATTAACTTTAGCTGGAAGCTGACGACAGCTTGTCATCTACCAACAACTCCCTATTCTGAGATATCAGTTTTAGCTGGGAGCACACGTTAACTTGTCATCTACCAACAATTACAGAGTCTGTGATATATCAACTTATTTTGCTGCGGATGCAACCAACAACAACCTAGTTTTGTGATATCAGCTTTAGCTGGGAGCTGACCTTAACTTGTCATATACAAAACAACGTACCAATATGGCTACCAACGGATCGTGTGATGTATCCACGTATAAATGTTCAGATAAAGGACTGATACTACCAATTATTAGTGAATATACCTGGAATACTGGAGGCCGGTCAGCCATTTATTTCTTCGCCTTGCTCTATTCCTTTCTGGGAATTTCCATCATTGCGGACATTTTCATGCGATCCATCGAAACTATAACTTCAAGAACCTCTACTATAACAGTTGCTGATAGATTCCATGGCACCAGGGAAGTAACAGTCAAATTCTGGAACGGAACCGTGGCGAATTTAACGCTGATGGCGCTTGGTTCCAGCGCTCCTGAAATTTTACTGTCTATCATAGAGATCGTTGGGAACGGTTTCAAAGCAGGTGCGCTGGGGCCTGGAACTATTGTGGGATCTGCGGCCTTCAACATGCTGTGTATCACGGGAATATGTGTCATGTGTCTTCCGGAGGGTGAAACTAGACGTATACGGAGTATTAAGGTATTCGCAGTTACTTGTATCTTCAGTGTGTTTGCCTATATTTGGTTGATAGTCATATTAGTGTTGGTGACCCCTAATTATATTGACTTATGGGAAGCAATTCTTACCCTGTTATTTTTCCCGATATTAGTTATCTTAGCGTATATCGTAGATAAAGATTTTTGTAACAAGAAATCAGCTGTTGGTGCCAGTGAAACTGAACTTGGAATAGGTAAGTCTTCTTTTCTTTGTCTTTTAGCGACATCATTACACAGAACATAACAAACCACAATTCGTAGTTCACGAACAGTGGCTCTGATGTATAAAGTCCAAATTGCTAATGTCAAAAGGATTGTAAAGGGGTTTTCTTAACTTTGTATGTATCGAGGACACTAGCATCAATTTACACCATTCCCATTATTTTTCAGTCTTACGTCTATGGGCATTGTGATACCTCTAAAACTAAGACATATCACGTAGAAATCACAAAAGCCACAGAAATGTGACGGAATGATGCATACATCAGAGACAAATGCTGAATCTGTCGCAGAGCGCTTATGAATTTTTATGGTAGATCGTTTGAAATGGCCCCAATACACTTAACAAAATAGCCAGAATTCCTCTTGACAATCCCTTTAAAGATGGGTTCCGTTATTTTCATTTATAAAAGTGAAAATGCTAATACCTATTTCAATAGAAAGAAGAGGTGTTCTAATGACTTTGAAAAATACCAGTTGTTTATCTCACATGTCCATAATTAATTAATAATTATCTAAATTAGTTGAGAATTACCAGCAGAATTTCAATAAGAGACTGATCAATAAAGGTTAAAAAGTTTTTTTTTTGTTTATCCAGTTTGTACATACATGAGCATTATATGATTGGTTAAAACTCTTAATTATATGCAATAAGAATATAAAGATATGATTAAGAATACATGATAATTCATTAAAACACCAATTTGTCAAATAGTTTGCTTAATTTGACACTAAAAATAAATAAGGAAACCCATCTTTAAAGCATGTTTATATCATCATATTGGATAGAAAGATAAGATATACAATTCTTACTCAGTTTACCTTGATTATCGATTATATACATACATGTATAGATAATATTGAATTATCATTAGAAATCTGATTAATATTTTATTGATGTTTGGTTGGACTGATATAAAAAATAACAATAAATAGAAACAATTCTCTATTTTATGGAACAAAATCACTGTGTTTAATGCAACGTTTCGACGTGTTATTCCGTCGTCCTCTGATTGTTTCGCTCGTCGTCCTCTGTTTCCTCAGTCGCCCTCTGTTTCCTCAGTCGTCCTCTGTTTCCTCAGTCGTCCTCTGTTTCCTCAGTCGTCCTCTGTTTCCTCAGTCGTCCTCTGTTTTGCCCGTGGTCCTCTGTTTCGCTCGTCGTCCTCTGTTTCCTCCTGTCGTCTGTTACGTGAGGGAACTTTAAGTGTAAGCTGAGAATAGATGGGCATAAAAAACTTAGTGCCGGACCATGTTATTAGAATCAGATTACGAACCATTATAGCAGTTTCGAATGAAAATTATGGATGAAATCACGAATGCAAGTGGAATGGTTTTGATTTATAACCGGAAATCGTACACATGTTTGTCCAGGAATCCTGGAAATAGACAGGTTAGGGGTAAGGGCATGGTACGGTCCCACTGACAGGAAATTCCTGCACAGAAACCATATCCGACGACACGTGTTTCGGATGATCAATCCTCATCAGGACAGATTGGTAATGAGGGTTACCCTTCCAAAATTGGAGTGTGGGCATATGGGCAAAGTAAGCGATCTCACGGATCAATGGACGATATCAGATTTGTATAACACTCACTACAGACACTACAGACACCAACAGAAACACATTGTACGGGTTTTGACATGGTCTTATTAACATGACGAATGGGGGCGTGGTTTTGACAGTGACACAATCAATTTCACATATAAGATATCTGACGTAATGCAATGTGTAGTTTGTTTAATCTGATTTCAACATATTATAACCTCCTTCTTGACTCCTTGACAACACGATAACAAATACATAGGTTGAATTGTTAGTAAGGTGCGATTAATTATAGTTTTAAGACGACAAAAGTCACGATCTGCAAATCTCGTATATAAGTCACCACCTCAAAATCAAAGGTCACTGCCTTAATAAATGGGAATAGCAAATTAGTAAAAAGTGATTGTAAAGAGGTTTTCTATACTACGTATGTGTATTAGGAACACTGTTAGCGTCAATTTGTACCATTACAATTTTCAATCAGACGTCTATGGTTCCTGCAATTCCACTAAAACTAAGTGTTTGATGACCTCACTCTAGCAAATTCCACCCAAAACAGTTGTAGTTGATCCACTGCTTATGAGAAGATTTTCAGGGCAAATCCTGTCTGATGACTGGCTAGAATATAGACCTGGAATCACGAGACCAGAAACATTATGGTTTTCCCAAAAGACATGAATAATAAATTCAGTTCGCCTACAGCGACAATTACAATCAACCAAATATTTATAATCAATTTTTGTCTCTAAACCAAAACGATCTTATGATAAATTTACCGGAACATGTCTTGAACGACGTCTTAAAGGGACACGGTCGCCATTTTCGGGGATTGATTTATGTCTTGAATGTACGTAAATAATCTTCAGAAGTACTAGAATTGTACGAAAATCGCATAATTTCTTCAAAAATATCTCAAACTAGGAATTTCACTTTCTATATACAGTATTTACTAGAAAATAGTCGCCATTTTAACTTTCAAACTTTCATTCTGGACACACATATATGGATTTGAAGGTTCAAATTTCGACTGTGAGTTGTACACACTTTTACTGATTAGCGTAGCTAAAAAAAATCCGTTTCTAAGACTAAGGTACGATTAATCAAACGTATGGCGTATGATAAATCCTTCGGCAGAAAAGTAGGATGTAAAACTCATTTAATTTCATCTGAACTTCACGCAAAAAGACACCCAACAAAAAATACCATAAAAGGACAAAATCACTTCAGCATTTTTTCAGTTTTAAACGTTGACCTGCATGTTTTATTTTAATAGCAGTATTTCCTCATTTGTTCAATTTTCAAAACTTACATTTTACATTTTTTCGTCAGCATTTCCCCAAGGTAACACATCTAGTATTATATATTCTTTATTAATTAACAAATTTCTGACTGTTTTTTGTTGTTGTTGATTCATTAATAAAACTTACAAAGTTTTGACATGTTGAAACATTCACTTTTCCATTAAAAATTTCTCCTATGTTTTCGAAACGAAATTTCCGTTCCTACTCTTCTGCACCTAATTGAGCTAAATGTTTCGGCACATTTTGTACTTACAACTTTGACCACCTGTTATTCCATATTAGGAGTTAGCATTCGGCCTGGTCAAATGCAAATCTTGGCCTTTGCCAACTTGAAAATACAAAATGACTCATGCCATTTCTTTTGTCATATGAAAACAAGTTGATGTATTCGTCTACAAAACAGACTATCGTACCCTTCGTATTTCTACAGGGGTATTATGAAGCGATAAGAGCATCTTTTGCATTTCGATATCTTATCTGATGTCCGTGATTACTATGATTACATGATGGAACCTTTAGCATTCATGCTAAGATGATATTTTTGAATGATCATTCCATTATTCTGTCAGATGTCTGTGGTTCCTGTGATCATAGAAATAATGCTTAACCATATGAAGTCAATGATGACGTTAATGATTTTTACGAGCCACAGACGTCTGACTGAGATTTGGAATGATGGTGCCCTCTATAGAGTTATTCCCCTTTACGGCTAGCGAGGACGCCCATTCTAAGCTATCAGTGTTTTTAATATACTTTAGGAAACCATCCCTTACAATCCTTAATAATCTACCAATGAAAATGACGACAAACGATATCGATTTCTAAAAATATGAAAAGTATATCATACCCTTTCTACTATTATTCTAACCAATATTCCCATCGTTTTCAGATAAAACCGGTGTAGAAATATTATCTCAGGATCATGCCGACAAAGATACAGTTCTTCAGCTTCTTAGGGTGAGTATAGTCAACACCAAGACCCTGTTTGACAAAAAGCATTTCCGTAGGCTGAATGTTAAACAGGACCATCGGCCTAATTCTGACCCGTGTAAAATAAAAAGTTTATTACTATTTTTAACCTCTATCAGATGACTTAATGCTAGAAACTTTTAATTGGTTCATTTGATATGATTTACTATTATCACAAATAAAACTGCTATATTTCTATAAAATATTGAAAAAAATGCCCACAATCCTTTCGAAGTTTTGAGTGCAGACACTCAGTCGCAGAGCTTCATCATGTGTTTCAGATCAGTGAGCATGCGCTAGTCGCAGACACACATAACAGCATTATTCCACTTACAACTTAATTGTATTGGATAAATAATCCAAGTGCCAACGATCCGTACATAAAAATAATTTGTATATGCCAAAATCCGCCACACAAATCTAGTACTGTAAAGCAATCTACCCCCATTATGTTGAGTTCAGCACATAGCATCTTATTCTTAGATCTACTCTATCTTTTCCGTCAAGATCTAACAATACTATAATCCATACAGAATCTAACATTAAAAGCACCTTTTCTGATAAAAACAATAGTGTTCTTAACCGACCTTTCTTATGATCTGGTTTCTTATTTTCTTATTTGTATTTTGTCGAAGTGAATTATCTGATAACATTTTTTAATGGAAACATCTGTGTGCTTTACGATGATATCGTTTAAATCGTTTTATACTGTTCTTTAGGTTAATTTCTTGTTTTGTATTCGATGCAGAAAATGGGAAGTCAAAGTGAGTTATCTGAAGAAGATGAAGCTCGAATTGCTGCTGGCATCATTGCTAAGAATACTCCTCATGATCGTGGATGGTACAGAATGAATGCTATTAGACAAATGACAGGGCATGCCAAGCTAAATCCCCAGTTGAACAACAAACAATCCGAGGTAAACATTTAATGTAATGGGGGAATTTTGCCAGGAAGGTAAACATTTAGGACGTGAGCTTACAACAAAGGCTTATTGTAAAACAGCAAAGATTAAGATTATCGAAAATATATGAAACTGTAACAAATTGGTTGTTCTTATTGCAATCACGAAATTTACCCCAAGTTTGATAGTAGCACCAAGTCCAAGTGATACAAGTGGCCACAGCAAGCCAACCCTAGTGTTTTTTTTTACCATAGATATATAACTATTAAGAAAGGGTATCTATTCTTTATTTTTGTCAGGTATTGTATTAGTTTATTATTTTATCTGGTGTATTTCAAACAATTTGGATTTACTGACAATATCAATAGATGGAATTTAGATGAATGCTTTCTCCCATCTTTCCGCAACTTGATTTGTCATATACGTTATTATGTTCCCTGGTCCTCCCAATACGATAAGATTTAAAAACCCAAATACTAAAGATCCGAATCGCAAAATGTTTGGCAATACATTAGTAGCAGCTAATGAACGTTAATTTCTGATAAGTTATAATCTTTTTCATTTAGTACTTGGAGAAGATAGTACATGACGTGAATTTTGATTCAATCGACAAAGAAGACGATGAAGTCGATGGGGGACCATTAGCTGTGGTGGAATTTGCTGCTACATCTACTGCAGTTCTAGAAAAAGAAGGTCGTGCTAAGGTCATCTTGACGAGACATGGCAACACAGAAAATAGGGTGCTCGCAAGGTACGTTCGTCACACTGGCCATGTAGTGTGGTGTAGGCGGTGGTAACTGGTTGTAGAAATTTATATATCGACATTATAGGGGTAGCTACATCTTCATAATGTCAAGCTATTACGAACTGCGTCTTATACTTTGATAACAATAGCCACCTCTCTTTATTACGGAAGTAAATGCAGCAATATGAGTGTAATGTGCGCTAGTTAATACAGATAATCACTGTCCTCGACAGAAAGACTGTAACCAATTTGGCTGCGCGTAAAATCGTGGCTATATGATTAGAGGTAGTAAACCTAAATTCTTTACAGTTTTTAAGATATATTCTTCGCTGTTTCAGGATCGAGACAATCGATGGTACAGCGGAAGCCAACTCGGACTATATCCCAGTAAAAACAACAGTTGTATTCGAACCCGGAGAGACGTCCAAACATATAGATATAGAAATAATAGACGACAATATCTACGAACCAGATGAAGTATTCTTTATCAAAGTGAATGTAGAAACAGACCAGGAAGCTATAACAGGGAGTAGGGCCATCTGTCAAATCACCATTTTGAACGATGACGGTAAGTTGGCTGGCTATACAGTGATGAAAATATGAGAACCTACCAACAGTTGAATCTTTTTAAGGATAATTATGCTCTCCTGCATTTTTTTAGGATGCCCGTGGACTTGATTCAACCATTTCTATGGTAGTTGGTAGTGACTTTGTCTACGTTGGAAAGGATTATCACACTGTCATGTCACCGTTATTCATGATAGCAGAACAGTGAATATTGTTATCTTGTAATTTTCTTTTTCGAAACTAAAGAGTTTGTAAATTAATTATGTTTTAATTTTGGAATATTTGCTATTTCAGAGCCCGGAACATTTGAATTTGAGAAACCTAGCTATGTGTTTAAAGAGAGTATTGGTGTAGCCAGCATCCCAATCCTGAGATCACATGGTGCTGACGGCAGGGTGATGCTCAAATGGAAGACGAAGGATATGACCGCTATCAGTAATCGAGATTATGAAGGAGGAGATGGTCAGTTGATCTTTGAGCATGGTGAAATGGTGAAAATGGTGGAGATTCCGATTCATGATGATCATGTAAGTCAGCATCTTGAGTGACGTTTCCACGAAAAGGACCATGTGCCCCACCCCAAGGTGCTGGACCAGCTTTGTTCAACCCACACACTTAAATTGAATATCATATAATTTTACGTAGAGAGCGAATAACCTGTGAACTCCCAGTCATTTGTTAGTCGATCACTTAAACTTATTCAAGTTTTGCTAAGTAACCAGTTGCTAGTAGTGGTGGGAAATCCAGTTTCTCTGTGCCAGACGTTAGTCGATATGTGCTCACCCTCCATTTTTTTCAAGAAAGAACGAGGCTCCTCATAATTCTTATCTTTAACTTGTATTTTAAGGTATTTGAAAAAGATGAACATTTCGAGCTGGCCATTGATCAGCTGTCCGAAGGCGCTAAATATGGTCGAATCAAAAGAACAATTGTCACTATAATGAACGATGATGGTAGGTATTGACATTGTTATCATTACCTCAAGCCTTTCTCAATAAACAAACTCTAAACGTAAGTTTCTGATCTTATTTGGCAGGGCATGGATATCGACCCTAATTCAAATCATTTTTTTGTAATTTCTTGAATTCTAACTTTGCTTCGTTCAAAGTACTTGTAAACATGTTACACTGCCAGTCGCACACAGTCTTCATTAACCCAATTAGGTGCGTAGGACGTAAAACTCCATTCATTTCATTTCAATATTTCAGAGTTCAAAGGGGTTGTAAGTCGTATTGTGAACATGACCAATGCTAATCTAGATGCTATTAAACTGGAGACTATAACCTGGGGTCAGCAATTTCACCAGGCCATGAACGTTAATGGAGGCGACACGGAAAATGCTACATCGTTTGATTACGTTATGCATTTCCTCATGTTTGGTTGGAAGGTAAGATAAATACATTGAGACTTACTACTGTTTGAATAACTAGGGCTCATCACATACTGCTGACACGTATTTCGGATACACAGTCCTAGTCAGGACAGCAAGTTCTTATGTGTCTCTTTGGTGAGGCTTATCCAAATAGCTGTTTTGAAAACTAGCTTTATCTACATTCCTGTCAATAGGAATCTTTTGATCTAACCTGATAAACACCACGTCACAAAATGCCAGCGCTGGGGAAGGTAGAAATTTGATTGGTTAAAGTAGACGTCATTGAGTCAGATGGAAGGTTAATTTGAGGAACGTTCAAGAGGACTGTCGTTAGACGCTAACTGAAGTGGCTATATTGAAAATAAAAGCGGCACAAAAGTTTGGTCCAATGTTAATAAGACTGTAAACGTAAGAAAATTGGCCCCGTTTGGCAGGGTTATAACTTAATCTTAATCTTGTTTCAAAATCAAAATAGGATGTGACACTCCAATTCCTTTTATTAATCTTTCAGGTGATATTTGCTATCGTTCCTCCACCGTCAATCTGGGGTGGCTGGCTATCGTTCTTTGTATCTCTGGCTTTTATTGGATTGCTAACGGCCATAGTTGGCGATTTAGCTGGAATATTTGGATGTTTGATTGATTTAAAAGACGAAGTTACAGCTATAACCTTTGTAGCATTAGGAACCAGTTTGCCCGATCTATTCGCCAGTCGACAAGCGGCAATAAATGAAAAGTATGCTGATGATTCTGTTGGTAATGTAACGGGAAGTAACTCTGTTAATGTGTTCCTTGGATTAGGGCTGTCCTGGGTTATCGCTGCTTCATATTGGAGCGTTAAGGTAAGATTTCTTTATAACTTGATAATTTGATGGCTTGATACCATGGCTGTCGATGAAGATACTTCAATAATATTTTGGGTACATGAACTCTTAAGACATGGCTGTGAAGTTGACTTACCCGATCGCTGAGTGGCACCAGATATTCCGAGTACATCGACTTCTAGCAAATCTAGGCCTGGCAATTTAGCCCTCTAAATGTCGGTTTATACCTTTTTGACGTTTATCTGGCATATAGCTTATTTCTGTGTTTACCTGGGTGTTTTCTCCATGTAATTTAAATCCATCATGTAATCTTGAGTACATGACAGGTATTTTCGGATTTCTCCTTTTATAATTTCTCTGGAATATAGCTTATTTATATAACTGGACACAATTATATGGATAACAATTACTTTAATAAGATAAAGTATCGACAAAGGTACTTTCGTCTTTATCAAGCAATGATACAAAATAACAGAGCAATAAGAATATAAAGCAAAAGAGGGGATTAGGTTACAAAAGTGGTTACCTTTGAGTGACAAAGGATTAATCATATAGTCTAATTCTGTGTATACCCATTGTTTGAGATACGATGAAGAATGATGTGATGTTTCTAAAATATTTATTCGATGAACATGAACGATGACAACATGGCGATGACAAATGATGATGTGGCAGTGTCGAGCAGGCGGAAGTCCAGTTTCGTTGTCTTTGACAACCTAGTAATGTTTCGTGTTCAGTTGAGTCATTCGGATCATCGTTCACGAACATTACAGGTAGTCCGAACACCCATTGGTGTATATCTAATTTAAACCCTTTTTTCTATTTTCAGGGACAAACATTTAATGTGAACGCCGGGTCTTTAAGTGTCAGTGTTATATTATATACAGTGTGTGCGCTATTAGCTATATTGTTACTCCTGATCAGACGCTATACGGCTGTGTTTGGTAAAGCTGAACTCGGGGGCCCTACAATACCCAAATATGGAAGTGCTATGTTTTTGATATTTTTGTGGATTTTTTATGTCATAATGTCCTCGCTGGAAGTTTATGAATACGTTGATTTTAATATTTAGATTCATATTACACTGTTTTTTTTTACCGTAGGTTAATATTAATTTACTGAAAAATGGTAAGGTCATTTGTGGACAATATTTTTGAAAGTTTTTAATTATTTTCCATGGATGTAATCAAGGTTCAAATACCACCTACCGACCTAGAATTAGAGATTAAGTTTTAATGTTAAAGTGGCGATATGTGCCAATAAATAAAGTTATATTTTAAATAATTTTTATCGTAGTCATATTTATATCTTTATCTCCTAATGAAGTTTATATCAATTACTCTCTCAATTAGCAAGGGACAAGTGTGCCATATTTTTTAAACAATTGTATCTTAATCTCTTAATATTTTGGCCAATCTAATCAGTAACCACGTCACAGCTCACCGTCGATATTTGAACCTTCAAATCCATGTCTGTCCAGAATTATCCACGTTTGAAAGTTAAAATGACGACTCTGCCATGTATAGAAAAGACAAATATAGAAATTCCTAGATTGAGGTATATTTGGAGGAACTTTGCGATTTTCGTTCATTTTTAATACTTCTGAAGACTATATAATATTCGAAATCAAAATCAACCCTCTTATAGCGAATCTGTCCCTTTTATCGAAAAAAAACAAACAGACTTCACAATAAATAAAATAAATTGTTGGCCACTGGAAGATTGGCCATCTGAAACACCCCGCCCCCTTTAACAAATTTTCTAAACTATGTAATCGTATTGGTGACATCGATAGCGTTGTTTTGAATCTTTCCAATTTTCAGTCAGACGTCTGTGGCTCTTGCAATACGATTAATGACGTCACAAAGGGGTCACTAACCCACAGCCAGCTGCCTCGACTTCCCCGACCCTAGTTATTTTTCTCGTGATATTTCTGATATTTTATCAAGTTTAAGACACATGTATAGATTTTTAATACATATTCATGTCCAGTTATGTTGTGTGTTTTTTTAATAAGGAATAAAACTAGATCAACACCCATTATGATTAAAGAAAACCACGCCCAGTTACTTGAGAAGAAAATATAATTTTTTTTAAATAGAAAAGCGCAATTTTAAATCTTTCATGGCTGAGAGTTGCAACATCTATGCAACACCCATGAAATACGACTCGTCAACGATTCCATATTAAATACCAGCAAATAAGATAAAAACTTTGATTAGTTCTGCATGTTCGGGATTCATGAAATTGATCAGAACTCACCAATCGAGCGCTACCATGATGTTACCAATTTGTCAAACTATCAAGCAAGTCCAACTGCTCTCTTCATTATAGCATAATAATCCCCACTTGATTTGTTTGTTCGTTCTATTAACTTGACAACCGAGTCAACATTAAACAATCATTTATCCAATTTATAACATTATATATAACTTTAGATTAGGTACCCGAATAATATAATTCTTCGGTTATTGTCTAACTCCTTTGGTTACTGTTTTTGTCTGGGCCGTTTTGGTAACTGTCATGTTCAGCCAATGCGGATACTAACCGGCCACTGTGGTTACTACTATCTAGCTACCGTGGTTACTGTCTAGCAACTGTGGTTAGGCGTACCGTTCAGCCAATGGGGTGCTAACCGTCCACCGTGGTTATTTCTACCATCTAGCCACTATGGCTACAGTCTAGCCACTCTGGTTAGGTTTACTGGATACTAACCGACCACTGTTGTTACTACTATCTAGCTACTGTGGTTGCTGTCTAGCAACTGTGGTTAGGCGTACCGTTCAGTCAATTGGGATGCTAACCGTCCACTGTGGTTACTTCTACCATCTAGCCACTATGGTTACAGTCTAGCCACTCTGGTTAGGACTACTGGATACTAACTGGCCACTGTTACTGCTATCTAGCCACTGTAGTCACTGTCTCATCCCCTTGGTTACTGTCTGGTCCCTTTGGTTACTGTCTGGCCTCTTTGGTTACTGTCTAACTCCTTTGGTTACTGTGTGGCTCCTTTGGTTACTGTCCAACCCCTTCGGTTACTGTCTGGCTCCTTTGGTTACTGTCTAACCTCCTTGGTTACTGTCTGGTTCCTTTGAGCGGAGGATCTTCAACACCTCAAGAAAATGTTAAAAATTAGGTTTTATTCTGCTTGCATCTTAGGCCATTCCAAACAGCATTCCTGTTGGAGGTATAACCATCGCCGCTCGAGTAGAAATACAACAAAATTGACATACAAAATCAGCGCTTTTTTTGGATTTTTAAGGATGTGTTGCCTTATTTCCCCACCCCTCCGGAGAAGGATTACCAAGGGAATCTCAAATCATTATTTAATATATTGGTGAGAGTGATGACATATTGAAATTCACAGTATGTATATCGAACAATGTCAATCGGCTTTAATCGATATTGGTTATTGTTTCTGATTGATTTCAATGATTCGTGATATTAATTAATAGGACTTCCAGACCGTTCCTCGTTTCATTATTATTTCAATAAAAAAAAGTCTACTCGATCGTATAGGACTATCAACCAGGTCACGTATTCTCGAAACGATCTTAGCGCTAGGATGTCCTAGATTCAATGTCAGAAGATAAGGACCTAGGACATCCCAGCGCTAAGATCGTTTCGAGAACATGTGGCCATTCCTTTAAGTGTTGAAAAGTTGAAAAGTTGGAAATATATGAGTAGAGTTTGGCTAATCAGTGGTAGCCTCCCGAGACTGGGGGTACATAAATTGATGTGACAGACGACTAACTTACACTTCCTGTTACCCCACTGAGGATTGTGGCACTGTTCTAACAAATCTCCATCACTGCACTCTCCAGTAGCCTAATCAGTTACCAAATCCATACACAACCGACAATGCGCATGTCTGTAAAAGTTAAGTCAGTCGTCTGTCACATTAAAGAATTGAATAGCAGGAATCATTGATACGGGCTACCCAATGTTTATCTATATAGTCTCCCTGCTGAGTCAACAAAAGTGACCAGTGTCCCGGAAGAGTTCAGGAACTTTATCAAGTACAAAGCACTCTAATGGTGAGCCTAATTAAGCCGACAATGCGCATGCGTCTGTGTAAGTTAGTCGTCTGTCAAATTCAAGAAATGAATAACATCTAAAATGGATGCGGAGATAACAAATCTCTCATAAACATAAACATTCTTCTGGATTGCTGAGCCTGTATAAGCTGACAATGCGCATGTCTATAAGTTGGTCGTCCGTCACATTCAAGAATTGATTAGAAAGAAAAAGAGTTCCACTAGTCCACTGCCTAGTAACAGTCTAACAATGTGTGATATATACACCGGCTTTTACCAAGTTAAATCTACTGATAACAACAAGAAGGTGAATATCTGTGGGTGTTACACTAATTAAGTTTATTAATTTTTAATTAAATCATTTGTGAGAGGAAATGTCTAGGAAATCTTTAGGACTTAAACGACAGAAATATTTTTTTCGGATTTTTTTAGTTTTTTTTTCAATATTCAATTGTTCTCAAAAAGTAAGTACATAAACACAACATGTTATTTTTACCGTTTTTGAAGTTTCAATGAGAGAATATTGCGAAATTTACAGTTAAGTTAGTCAGATAGGCTTCATAGCAGAATGATTAAAAAGAATTTTTTTTTTAAATTTGTAGGCTACTGTGAACATGTGCACTACTGGAAAGACTTTACCAGTTTTCAGGGATTTAACGTGTCATGTGACCTTTTTTCTGGGCATTGTAAATGTTCACAGTAGAGTCTCCAAATATCCAAGTTATTCTTCTGGGATAACAAAACTACAGAAGACGGACCGGTAGAAGCGAAATGATGATAATCGAAGAAGAACTTTTCCAACATAAATAATACAAGATTAGATACCTTTGACAACTCCAAGAGGCTAATCAACAAACACCTTAATTGGCAGGAGCAGGGGCTTGATTGTAAACAATAGCGTGTCCGTGGCCATAGATGTTTCTCCGTGTGATGAAATATTTGAAGGCCTAACTAATAAACTGGAAATTATAGTCATAAAACTCGTTGCCCTCTTGTAGCCTGACCCATATAACATAGCCCTATTTAATGTTAGATCTGATTTAGTTCGCCCTATCTATGGGCCCTATGGCCAAAGTGAGAAATAATATTGGGGTGAAAGGCTCCGATCCAGTGAACAGGCCTACCATATTTAATGAACTATGTGGACCATGAATGGATTACATGGATAGTAATATGAAAAAATGTATATAATATAGACTATAATAATCATATAAAAAGATCATAATAATTTTTTTTAAGAATTTACACAATTTGGATCCTATTTTGAAGTAGAAACAGCACCATATTTTTTAGCCTAGCCTACTTGTCTTAATTACTGGGCCAGGCGCATAGTTAGAAACTCCTGACAGCGACTCCTATATCTTTCAAATAGCCTGGGCTTAGGTAGGCTATTTAGGATAGACTCACAACAGAAAATTATAGGCCTACTCACAGGCCCGTAACCAACCAAAAGTCAATGTGCCAATAGGGTCGGCCGCATTTGCATAATATAAACTCTGGTATCGACGACGATCTTTAAACGGAAGAGGTAAAAAGCCTTGACCTCTAAAATAACACACTTAGGTCAAGGATACGACGTCACAATGGCGTGACGTCACTTAGTCACGGGGTCCTTAGTAACGCGAACGTACATCAGTGACTGTCCATTTCAGGCTGAAGATTCCAGCTAAGATTTCTGATTTATAAGGGAGTTCCTGATTGAAACGGTACGTATTTAACATTATATGTATTGTAGCAAAACTATGGACATATTTTGCAATATTTTAAGGCTCTAGTGCCTCCTAATCCCTCTACTTCGACGACCTTCTGCAGACCTTCTGAAGCCGCCTGCCTTGAAATCACGTGACGTCATTTGGTTCGCTACGTCTGAAAATGAAAATGGCGGTCGTTCTTGTTTGCACGGCAAAGGTCTGGATCATTCCTTATTTTCCGCCTTAAAAATCAAGTTCAGACTGACCAAGTGAGGTCGAGGAAAACAAGACAGGATGCCAAGATGGTAGACTTGACAACCTATAAAATGAAAGATGATATCAAGATGATAGATCTAGACCTGTTTTGTAAAATAATATTTTTTTGATGTAAATTTAAATATGGGATGTTTGTTTTAGCCTAGTCTGTCTATTTTCTATTTATTTTTAACCTTCTATAAATCAAGATCCTACTAAGTTCTAGTTGAGGCCCTACGAACAGCACAACCTACACTGTAAGTGTAACTGCAAGGCCTGATGTCGGTGATAGCGGATTTTTCAAATCAAACCTCTGCAACAACCCTTCCCAATATTATTGAAGAACAACCAACTTGATATCAATTTGATTTTGTTAATTAAAACTATTCAGAATTAACAACAACAACCATTGTAACAAGATACAAACCAGTCTGAAAATGTAGCCCTATCTCTAAATTTTAAGTAAAGAAGTTAGATGACTGGATGATGTGTTGGCGTACAATTGCAACTTGTGTTATTGATTTTAATGGCAAAGAAAGTTTACTTATAAAAATGTATAGGTGTCAGATTCGATATCGACATGATTACTGAACATGTTATTTATTTTTTAACATGCAAACATCTCGTGTATCTTAAAATCATAGTCTCATTAATATATTAAAAAAAGCTATTTCTCTTAAGCAGTTGACAGAAGACTCATTCTTTCGACAAGATAATTTCACACGCTTACATCAACTATTCTCACATATCACTATTCATTTATCATGAACTATATATAATCCATTATCAAACATTAACTGATTCAACCAAAGCTAAATTTATCATTTTTCAATCATCATCATCTCATCATCACCACCAATATTACCATCACTTAATAACATCATTTTCATCATCTATCCTCAATCCTCATAATTCGTACCATTTATCATCAGTCATTATCTTCATCATCATCATTATTATTGTATCTACGTCATGATTCCTTAATAGATTCAGGTCAAAAGCTGCTCAAAACGTTGATCTGATTGAAGATGATTTTTGGATGATGGTGTTGACATTAAGTCTTATTAAGTATTGATTTATATGTAATTTTTCACCTGAACAGTGCATGAGTCAATGAGTCGGGTCAATCCTTTCTTTATATTTTCACAGTAAGCAGCTTATCTTAAAGAAGTTTTCTGATTGTAGTACACAATAGATACTCTTCAATGAAGATGTTGGGTTATGATAGGCGTCAGGGGGACAGGAGTTTTACAAATTTCAAGTTGTATTCTCCATCAAAGTGTGTTTTATATGAGCTTGATTTATTTCTTTTGACAAAAAAATATAAACTATGAGTTATAAATATTAAGTACCGTATTGTATTTGTTAAAAAAAAGTAAAATAATGTCAAGACAAGTATAAAAACATGTATTCTTAGTCTTTAATATATAATTGTCTTATTACATTAATTGACATTTAAAACATAAACTATTTTGTGTGATCTATTTTATGCTTGAACGAATAATTCTTGCATTGAATGAAAGCGGAAACTGATTATTTTGTTGTAAGTGCATATTAAATTAATTGTTGATTGTGGTAGGTTGTTGGTAGTCTTAGTAACCAGGATATAAGTTAAACTGGTAATCAATATTTGAACTATCAATATTTAATAGTAAGATAAGTAAAACAATAGAATCTTATTGTTCATTTTAATAACCGTAATGTATAACAAAAACAGGTTTCGTTTAAGCCAGGTGACAGAAGTCACTGAAGTATCCAAGCACCATCGCTTTACGTGTCTAGAAATTGATAAAAGGTAATTTATCATTTATCTTCTATCATCCATCGATGATGCTATTTTTTTGTTAAACTTGTTGGTGGTTTTAATCATTTATCAAATTACAAACTAAAGTTTTGAAATATTTTATTTACTTTTGAAATAAAAAAAACTGATATCCAAAATGGAATTGTATAATATTTCTGTATCAATTTGTTTCCATAAAATCTAAATCTAAATACAAGAATGTGTATTTAAATAAAATAATTGATCGTGTTAAATCTTAGTATTGATAAATACTTGAAGTTAACAATAAAACTAAACATGTATTCCATTTACCAACACAATGTGTGTAGACAGAGCTTTTTATACTCATTGTTACTCCAGGACATTGTTATTATAGTTCCAAACTTCCTGCTGGTATATTCAATAACAATGTCTCAGTTCAAAATTTGTTATATCAACTTCTACGTCTAGAATTCGGGAAAGTCCGACATTTATTCTGAAATAGAACAATTAATAGGCTTTAAACTGTAATTTGAAATTATGACATACATAATAATGGAAGTGTAGCAACCGAAGTCTACTAATTACTCATATTTAATTACAGTGGAAAATACTCAGGATTTTAATATTCTTGTAACCCTTATCTTTGTTATCCTGTAAGTTATCTTTGTTATCCTGTAAGTTATCTTTGTAACCTGTAAGTTATCTTTGTAACCTGTAAGTTATCTCTGTAACCTGTAACTATTCGGCTTTTTATGTCCACATAAAAAAAAGAAAAATAATGAAATAATAATGATATTATAAGCTCCCCGAGAATAATGTTATTGAAAGCCTCGTAACATTCTCAATCATTTGGAACCCAATGCGTATCGTTTGAAATCCATTAAATATTGGTATATATTGATATCACATCATCAAACAATTGGGGTGGTAAAGTAATTATAATGGAACTAAACATAATGATATAGACTCTAGCCCTTTATTACATTAAAATTATCATAAAATATTTCAATATATAATTATTGATGATACCATTCTCTACTTACTTTTATTTATTATCAAAATCGCTTCGTCAAAAACTGAATTAATTGTTTTTTGGATAAATACTATTATATTTGTCTTATTGATCCCTGTTGATTTTGATAGGAAATAAACTCAACCATAGATAACCAACAGAACTGTGGCTTGTTGTTATCTTGTCCCAGGTAACCATGGCTGCTAAAACTCACGGAAAGGATTCAGTTCTTGTCGAACAACTTGTAACAAAGAGGAAAATACTTTGATTGAAACCTTCAAAGACTGATATTTTTATATCCAACCTAGCTAACAGATCTTTATGCAAATTGAAAAAATATTTCAAGAAGTCATAGAGGAAATTTTGAGGTGTACATTTTAGACTTATAAACGTCTGAAAGACTTCTTGAGAAAATCATTCCAACATGAATTGTTTATTGATTGATTATTTTAACAAAAGAGTATTTAATAATTTCTCCTGACATTATTTGTTATTGTTTGTTGTTGGCATCGATGGTCATTATTAACGTCTTTGATTATAACGTGTTTTAAGGAATATATGTTAAGGTTTAAATGGATTTAGTTGATTAATATTAGTGACCTCCACCATTTGCCTCATCAACCTTAAAAGAGAAATACATAGGATTTCCTGAGGAATCTCGCTTGGAAAAGATTGAACCAACTGACTTTTTTTTTATATTGGAAGGTGAAACCAACATGTAGGGTGAATTGACAGAAACTCAATATTGATTGTGTTTGATCCCAAAAGATTGTTATTTTGTATTTTTCAGATGAAGAATAGAAGTTGTTAGGTTTGGAAACTATAGATTAAACATAAAACCACCACAATGGCCAATTCAACTACCATAGATATCTATAATTATATGTGTTCAGATTTAGGCTTGTTTTTACCTGCTATAAATGAATTCACGTGGTCGATTGGGGTCCGAGCGACCCTGTATATGATGGGTTTGATTTGGAGCTTCTTTGCTGTGGCCATTGTGGCCGATGCGTTTATGCGTGGAGTAGTAAGGATTACAAGTAAAACAAGAGTTATTCAAGTAGCCGATCCCAACACAAAAACAACGACGGATGTAGAAGTTAAAGTATGGAACGATACTGTGGCAAATCTTACTTTGTTAGCTTTTGGAACAAGTGCTCCGGAAATCCTCTTATCTGTGATAGAAATTGTTGGTGGTAATTTCAAGGCTGGGCCACTGGGTCCCGGTACTATAGTCGGATCAGCGGCTTTCAATCTTCTCATCATTACCCCGATATGTATTATGTCCATTCCTACCGGAGAGACTAGACGTATTGAAAATTTTAAGGTATTTGCATTAACCACGTGTTCCAGTATCTTTGCTTATTTATGGCTAGTAATAGTCTTGGTTGCGTTCAGTCCTGGCATTGTTGAAGTATGGGAAGCCGTCATTACTTTCCTAATGTTCCCCGGACTTATCATGTCTGCTTATGCTGTGGATAGGAATTGCTGTATGGAGAGTGAATCAAGTAAATCTGAGGTAGAAATTGGTCTTGGTAAGTAAATCATATTTTACGTATATCATTATCTTGTAATATTATATTGCCAAGTATGAAATAAGTTAACTTCTGTCCAGTACCAAAAGTCAGGATGATTCCGTTATTTTATTGAGCCATTATTTATTTTTCAAATAAGTTGAAGAATTCACAAAACACTCTGTTCCTACACGTAAACATATGGTGACAAGATATAGATCAAAACTGATTGGTGAACCAGTATACAATAACTGGCTGAAATGGATGATAAAGTCTATGATTTTAGTACCTACTTATTGATATCATAATTTCACACTAAACGTTTGATAATGGAACATTAACAAGTGACGATAGCCTAAGTTCATTATTAAATGATCAGATTGTGAAAATAACACTTTAATAAGAACTTATATCCTAATAGCACTTGACTGTGAGTATTTAATATAGCTTGCTGATCTATTCCTACATTAGCTTGCTGATCTATTCCTACATTAGCTGGGTGATCTATTCCTAGATCAGTTTGGTGATCTATTCCCGGTTTCCGACACCAGTTTGGGTTTGGAAAGGAATAATTACAAACACAGATATTATTTATCTTTGTATGTAAACAAAACTAATATTTTTTTGACAAACATGTTAATTATATTGGTCTCAAACTGTGTTTTAGAGTTAGACAGTGTCACCAATATGAAGCCAGGTGCACATGTTGAAGGTACCGCAGATATTATAGAATTAGCTAAAGTAAGTTAAGAGATGTATACGGAGATTAAGCTTGTATATCCCGGTACAATTTGTACAATTGCTGGTAAATGGTACGCCAGACCATCTAAATAATATATGGGCTGTTATCCAGAGGATACGAGCGGCTCCTTTTGTACTTTCGGTTGGAATTTCTGGAAGGGGAGTGTTTACGTCATATTAGATTAACACTAAGTCCCTGTTAATCTATCAATACTTCTAGGATGAAATTCGAATTCACTTTAAAAAGTCTGATTAAATTTGTCTTACTATAAAAATGGCACTAGATGTTAGTGACATATCCCTGTATAGTAATCATTCTCGTGTGATGTTTATTTACCATTCTTCCCTACAGGAACTAGAACGAGATCCATCCCTATCGGTAGATCAGGCAGCCAAAGTTGCAACTGCAAAGCTGGCAGCCAATCAACACCATAGTTCATTATGGTACCGAGTCAACGCTACTAGAGTGATAACTGGTGGAAGTAAACTGGTTCCAAAAGTTACTCATACCTTAAAAGACGTAAGTTTATTTATTTCCATGGTCTTATTAATTTGTACAGAATATTCATGTGAAACGTACAAAAAGAAGCTTAAAGATTTGACCAATGCCTGCCCTGAGAATACATTAATATTTATCCTTCCAAAATAGAAAATTATAGAATCAGTAAAGGATGTTTTTTCAAGAAAAGATTATTCACTCTCAACAAACTTTGAACATTCAATGTGTATTTTGTTTACTTAGCAATCGGTCTATCGACTAATGAAATTGCTCGTAAGTACCGAATTGGAGATATTGTGATATATCTATTATAGCATGTCATTACTAATATTTATACCGGTACCGATACTCTTCCACAATGGCGTACTACTAGTATCTACTTCCTCCATTGTTTCCCGTCTTTAAACCTATGCTACGTATGACGTTATTGTCGCAAATACCATTCATACCTAACTGTTCTTGATGAAGTGACGTTATAATCTGGTCAAGTTATTCCAGGATAAGGAACCACTAACGTCGGACGAGAAATAGGAATGGTGCAAGCTGATTTGTTTAAGCGTTTCTGACATTCTAATAAAGCCAAGATATTCTTTATCGTATCCCTTCTAATTGTGTGTGAAATTCCGAATTGAACTGAATCCATGTATGAATATATTGTAAATTAACTTGTATCTTGTAATTGTGATAATTTCCATGTATTGCTTGATGTTATTATACTTTACTAACAAATATAACCTAGATGAATGTGTTGGCAGTAATTAAGAATTGACGTATTTAGGATCATCAGCATTTTTATCTTAATAGACAAGTGAAATTCGTTTGTTCTTTTGATAAATCATATTCGAAGTGATACGAGGGACTTTTTCGGGTCTCATTTAAAAAGGTGTGATTTCTTCCTTCGTATAACAATTTCCGACTTCCATATCCTAACAATCAAACTCTTTCTGAATCTGTCTCAGGAAAATATTTCACCACCACTCAAAATATTTGATTTTTTTATCCCCGTTTATTTCTTATGTATAGATGTATGAAAACCTTCAACCAGATGCTCCTGCTCGACTTGCACCCTCGGAATTAGAAGCACTGAGTGAGGGTGGTAAAAAGTCTGTGGTAGAGTTCACAGCTTCATCTTGTTCCGTTTTAGAAAATGAGGGCAGTGTGAGAATTGGTATCAGGCGATTCGGCAATACTTCACTTAATATAACCGTCAGGTAAGTCCTCGGGTTAGCATTTAGAAAACTGCTGAACTTTCATGGTGATTAGCTGAGAATTTTAAAGAAAGCCTCGGATGGACGTAGAAACCACACAGGCTCGACCTATTTCTGATCAATATCTGTCCAAAAATAACAGAGATCAGAGGCCAATAAAAATTTATTTTCTTGGACTGGTTGACTTGAATCAGTTCTCTTGCACAAGCAAACGACAATAATTTGTAGAAGTCAGACGATAATAGTTGTAATTATCTATTTTACATGTTTATTATCATACAAGTGTAGCATTTAAGTTTATAATGGGATAATTTATGTGTCTTGTCTGAAGTTGTTATCTGTACCTCGCGGTTATTATGACTCTTAAGAATAGGCTTGTTGTAAATCGTTTTATTAAGTCAATTACATTGATAATAACGTGCACCGGTATTTATTTTGTAGAGCAAACAGTTAATTTATCAACAATTCAATAGGTTGATAACAGAAGCATTAGCTAGGTTTAAGGCATATCTGGGCTAATAAATCTGAATCTAACGACGAACTCTTTCTGCCTAGGAGAAACAGTCTCTAATATTTGCTGGTTTAACATAATAAAGTCGCTTGCAATAACTTTTACAGAGCAGGCCTTGTAATAGATTTATGTCAGAGATAAACGTAATTTAGAGACATGCCATGAGTTGCTATTAATCAATAATAACAACTTGTTTGGTTTATTTTCAGTGTTGAAACGATTGATGGTTCTGCTGAAAGCAATAGTGATTATGTACCATTTAGTGGAACGGTAACATTCAAATCTAAGGAGGTACTGAAAGAAATATTTATCAAGATTATTGACGATGATGTTTGGGAACCAGATGAGTTTTTCTTCGTCAAATTGTTTTTAACTGAAGATCAGAAAAATGTTGCCTTGGGAAAAACTTCCATTAATCAAGTCACTATCGTAAATGATGACGGTGAGTAATCTAGCCTCCTGTTCGATGAGTTCGCAAAATCATATGTACTCTTATCTATCCTAAATCCCAAAACTAACTGTACAGCAAGCCCCGGTCGACAGTGAGCAGAGCTAAACTTTCTATTTGTTAAGACGTTGCATCTTGGGTATTTAAAGTGTATGCACCAAATTATCTCCACAATTCGTTAGCGAGAGATTTACGGGGGAATACAAATAATTTTTATCTATAGGCAGCTAAAGAAAACTCCCACGTAATAACAATAAACACAAGAAAGTAAAACGCTAGAATGAAATTTACACGTGCCATGTGACCGGAGACAACAATATTCTCTCTCGTGTGTTTTTAATAATGTCTTAAGCATTCTGTTAAAGAGACTTTCACCGTGAAAGGGGTTCAACTCGTGACTTTAAATTAGACCAGTGAGCACGACGTTTGAACGGTGGTTTGCGAATATCCCAGTGTTGTACCTGTGAAATTTACGCCATAGCACTAAGTTCATTGTGAACTACGGTAAACATCATATTTGTGCAACGAATTACGTCTGCTCTTATCTGAATTCCCTTGCTTATTCATGATCACCTCATTAGATATCTGTAGTGGGTTCATCCCATCAACGCTCAAATATACATCAGAAGAATTACTTGGCATCACACCGTATCGGGAAAACAAAAGGCTTCATTAATTATTCATTACATTGAGATATTATTGTGCTGAATGTTTTTTTTCTGGTTAAATGGAAATTTCTAGAATTAAAAGTTTGTCGTGACTAAATTTAGATATTTTGAAATTATAAAAAATTCCATGGAAAAATGATCATATATAAGTTATTGCTTGACATAATATCCATGTGACCTTTACCATTCACTCAGTCGTTTCAGACTTTTGTTCGATCAAATTTCACTTTATCATTCGTTAATGGTAAATTGATACATATACATTTCCTTTGACGTGTAAATCTTACATGCATCATTTACATGTATTGATGTATCCTACTTTTATTATAACCCATTAAACTATGCCCTGAAATAATTCACCTTTAAACGCTTTTAGCCATTTGATATTTTTTTGAAAATATCAGTATTATATATTCAAGTTACAATTGTACAATGAAGAAAGAATCTATTCCATCTTAAAGTTATATCCACCAGAGAACGGTGTCCACTGTCCACCACTATCTTACTAAATACTTTAATAAAAATCAACTCAATGCCCTTGAAACCATTTACCAAGTATACAGTTAAAACAACGACATTAAATGACCTTATGTTAAAAGAGTTTTATGGATAGGGTCCTTATAAATGTACTTGTAAACTGGAATATAATAGAACAGACTGGAATTTTATTTTTGCTAATCAGAGAGTCGATACAGTCGGTTCCAATCAGACAAATACATGTATTTCCAAATGAACTTTACAGCACTGGAAATAGACCATATTATGCTATATGGATATTCATATCAAAACCAAGTTACATCGTAAAAGAAAGCAGTGATTTTGCTATGTTAAATGTCAACAGAATTAACGGGGCTGATGGCGAAGCGTCTGTCGTATGGACAACTAAAGATCTGACTGCTAAAAGTGGTGTAGAATATTTTGGCGGAGAAGGAAACTTGACCTTCAAGCATGGAGAAGCCAGCAAAGTTTTATCTATACAGATAAATAGAATAATGGTATGTTTATTTCTTTCACATACTTTTCTTCAAGATAAAAACATACATTGGACAGTTCCCTTCTAAATAAACATACATTGGACAGTTTCCCTTCTAAATCAACATACATTGGACAGTTCCCTTCTAAATAAACATACATTGGACAGTTCCCTTCTAAATCAACACACATTGGACAGTTTCCTTCTAAATCAACACACATTGGACAGTTTCCTTCTAAATCAACATACATTGGACAGTTTCCCTTCTAAATAAACATACATTGGACAGTTCCCTTCTAAATAAACATACATTGGACAGTTTCCCTTCTAAATCAACATACATTGGACAGTTCCCTTCTAAATAAACATACATTGGACAGTTTCCCTTCTAAATCAACATACATTGGACAGTTCCTTTCTAAAGAAACATACATTGGACAGTTCCCTTCTAAATCAACACACATTGGACAGTTTCCTTCTAAATCAACACACATTGGACAGTTTCCCTTCTAAATCAACATACATTGGACAGTTTCCCTTTTAAATAAACATACATTGGACAGTTTCCCTTCTAAATCAACATACATTGGACAGTTTCCCTTTGAAATCAACATACATTGGACAGTTTCCCTTTGAAATCAACATACATTGGACAGTTTCCCTTCTAAATAAACATACATTGGACAGTTTCCTT